GCGTTTGAGAAGGGGAATGAGTTTGCCAGCGGAATTGGTTAGTATTCTAAAAAGCGGCTCCTATTTGTTGCTGACAAGGTGACGGGCAGCCGTCAACTATGGTGCCAGCGTGATCGTTGCAAAAGAAGGCGACAGTGCAGAACAAGGCGACGGCACAGATGTGACAATCCAGGAATCTCACCGAGTGGTTAGCAAGCCACAGTTGGCGACAGCAATCCCTGTCGGCAAGCGAATGCCCAGTTTTAAGGTGCTCAATCAGTCGGACGCTCGGCCGTGGCATTTGCAGGAACTACTGAAGAGCAATGGCCGCTGGAGGATAATTGTGTTTGCCGGTCAGCTAACAATTCCACAAAACATGCAGCGTATGAAACAGCTAGGGGCACGACTTGGGGCGTCGCGTTCTTTTCTCCATCAGTATACACCGGCAGGCCAGCCGATTGACAGCGTGATCGAAGTTTTGACCGTGCATGCTGGCCCACGTACGAGTTTGGAGCTCCTGGACTTGCCAGAGTCTTTCCACCCGTACAGTAAACAGCAAGGTTGGGACTATTGGAAGGTATTCGTGGATGACCAGTCGTACCATGAGGGACATGGCCAGGCTTATATGAATTATGGTATTGATCCTAGTCGTGGTGCTAGTGTCATTATTCGACCGGATCAATATGTCAGCTGGGTGGGAGAGGTAGATGATTATGATGAGATGGCGCGGTTCTTCTCTGGTTTCATGAAGCCGCAGACTTCTGGAAAAGAGGGTGATCCTGCCGCCTGAGATAGCTATTACGGGCATCCTTTTGCTCACGATGACATGACCGATAAATAAGGAGCTAATTCCGAATATGTACATGGAATCTATAACAGGATACTCTGGCTCATATATGCAAAATGCAGATCAGTCTTTGTACAGAAAGCACCAGGACAAGACTGGAATTCCATCAGAGTCTGCTGCCAAGCGAGCTGGATACTTGATAATCATTTCCCCTAGAATGGCATGAGTCTGATATTCTCTGGTTAAATTCTGGCAGTGACCAACCTACGTTTGACGTTTCAAGAATCCGGCGAAGAATTTTCCAATCTCGGGATACTTGTCGAGGCTCATCACGGCAGAGACGTCTGGTAATCAAAGTCAGCGGATGTTAATATGGAAGTAGAGTAAAATTACTGACATTGATCAGGACGAACAATAATAATGGCTCCTTGTTTTGGATCAATGCCCAAGAAGTCGTAAGCATGACCGTGGAGCAGGTTGTAGGCCTCATCATCATAGAAGATCTTGTGCAAATCTGGCAAGCAGTGTAAGCAGTGCGTCTCGCACTGGTCGTAGAGAGAGATACGAACCTCTGGTCTGATTCTTGCCAGAAACCGGGTAGAAGCACGCGGGAATCTGCTCTAGCTCAACATCGTGGCGCTTTCCATGGCCCACCAGGATAGTCTCAATCAGGCTGTCCGCGTGGGCAGACGGAGGCGTGAAGGAATGAATAGGCCCATCAGGAGAATCCAGATAGTTTCCGAGCTGGTTTGCTAATTAGTGATGATTCTGTAGATATAATACGGCGACATAACCTACCGCATTCAGTTTTTCCTGGCTCTGTGGAACGGAAAGGTCCCCCCCAAACACTATCACACGCCAACGGCCATCGGATTTGAGAGACTGCATGAGTTGCATGGGCTTGGAGTCGCAGAATCGGACGATCTGCGCGCTGGGCAGGCGCATGCCAACGACGACATTTGAAGCGAGTTGGGTCGATTCCAACGCTGCCGTGATGGGTGAGACATCATACTTGGCTGTCAAGCCAGCAGTGTATTTGCCTGACTTGGTAAATCCTTCCTGGAACTCGGCTGGGGTGGCCTTCTTTCCAGATGAGCTGGACGAAAACAGTTTTGAGAAGTAGCGATCAAAGTTGATCAGGTCAATGGCAACCTTTTCGCGCTCCAGAACATACGTCTTCAAGATGTCGGGGACCGCCAGCCCCGTCAAGACCTGACCTAGCTTCCATCCGATATTATATCCATCCTGTAGGCTGACGTTCATACCTTGGCCGGCCTTGGGGGAGTGGGTGTGGCAGGCATCCCCAGCGAGGAAGACGCGGTGATCCTTGTGGAAGAAATCGGCATGCCGTTGGCCGATGGCGTACGCCGACCACCACACGGTCTCAACAAAGTCCACGTTGTACGGGTGGAATATACTTTGCGCTTGTCGCTGCAAATTCTCTAGCTTGACGTCCTTCGGGTTGGTCCCCGGAGGCAACTCGATGTAGAACCGGGTCAGATTGTTGCTCTCACCCTCGCGTGGGATGATCAAGATATTGCCTGCCGTTGAGCGGATAGTGGCCTTCTTGCGGATGTCAGGGAAGTCTGTTCGCGGCACCATGTCCATGACGCCCCAGACGGCATCGCTGCTGTCCCCAATCATCCGGTAGCCCAGGGCTTTGCGGACAACGCTGTGGGCCCCATCGCAAGCCTGTAATAGAATTAGCGTGAACCATCAGATCTCTGGTACAAACTCACCAGGGCATACTTGGCCGCGAAGGTTTCAGTGACCCCGTCCTTCTCCGCCGTCACCGTCACTGGGTAGGCATCATGATCTGCCACAGAGGCGCTGTCCACCTCCACGTTGGTTACGTTGTACCCGTAGTCGATAACCTGGTCATTATACTTGCGCATGAGTTCAATTAGGAGCCCATTAATGCGCGCCTGGTTCAGAATGACATGAGGTTGGTGCGACAGCCCGGGCTGCACGTCTGCGGCGCGCCCAGTGCGCTTGATTATCCCCGAGCCCTCATCGGCCCAGAAATTCACCTCCAGAACGTGATATGCTTCGCGCAGCAGCTCCTCACTGATGCCAAAGCTCTCGAAAATCTCCACGGTACGGCACTGTACACCGTCTGCCTGTCCCATCTTCATCGGCCCAGCGCGGCGCTCGAGGACCTTACATTTGACACCATAGCGGGCTAGCCAGGTCGCCGCGCAGAGACCCGCCGAACCACTGCCGCAAATGAGCACGTCCACTTGTTCCATTTTTTTTTTTTTCAATTGCAGTTGGTGCATGTCGAAACCCCCGGATTCCCCGATCACTAAGTACTCGAGTGAGCACGGGATCAACTCCGAGGGGCGTCGTCTTCTGGGCGAATGAGCGTGAATTATTCTTCTCCACTGCGTCTTTGTCATCTCGGCAACCTGCTTCCTTGCTCACTGCCGACTACCCGATCCCCCGGATCCTCGGGTTGGACTCCGTTCGTGATCTTCTCCCGAAGTCTTTTTTATAAAATGGATCATGAGCAGTTTATTCTCTTCCAGGCGAACTTGGGTCGGAGATTGTCTCTTCCCAGCTCTTCCGGTTGAAGTTCCTTCTCGCCCTCCGCTTGAACTCTGGTGATGACAGGGTCATCCGTAAAACAATGAATGCATGGAGGTCATTATATTTGGTCTAGAATCATTACAGAAATGCATCATCCCCTCTCCCCAGTCCCGAACGCCAGCGCCGGTTATAAAGCTCGTGGCATCATGTTTACAAAAAGTACTCACTGCGGCCGGGCCGTGAGGTCGGCACATGTCGCTGATCGTCGCCGACGGCGCTAAACAGCTTGAAGGCGGGCTTCAGGTTCTCGTCGATCTCGCAGACCGACGCCAGGTTCCCACACCGATAGCAATAGTTCGGCGCACTCCACACAGTAACAACGTTTTGGTTGGAGAAATGATACTTGTACCCCTCGTTGACCAGCTGGTGCGCGCGGGCTATCAGGGAGAGATCGTTGACATGGCAGAATTCGTCGGCCACTCGGTCACCAAATAACCAGCCTAGAATGACGGTCAGTCGCCGCAGTTATAATCAGGACTCAGACAGTCTCACCGGCACCCCGTGGGCTGACAGCCCAGGTCTCGACGTCGTCCGGATCGGACCAAACCAGATCGCAGAAGGCTCCCTCATGGGGAATCTCCTGGGCGCGAGCGACCACCCGAACTTGATCCAGCGTGCGGATCTCCGGACTCAGCCCTCCGTGAACACACAAGACCTTGCCGTCGATGATAGCCCCCAGCGTCATGAAGTCAAAGACCTGACAGCAGGCCTTCCAGACCGAAGCACTTCCGTACTTCTGGAAACATTCCTCGTAGAACCCATATACCTGTGTAATCTGTCGAGACTCGTGGTTGCCGCGAACCAACGTGACCCGGTCAGGATACCTGCAAGAGCTCCTGTCAACCTGGCTACCTTGCCAAACACACTCGAAAGGCACCTACTTTGCCTTCAGACACAGCAATAGTGTCAAAGTCTCTAGACTGAAATATCCGCGATCCACATAATCCCCCAGGAAAACAAAGTTGCGGTTGAGCCGGACATCGTCGGACCCTGCAGGTGATCGACTGCGAGCATCGTTGGAACCTGTCTCTTGGTCGTCGTCGTCGTCATCGTCAACGTGCGAGCTGTCGCTGGGCCCGCGGAGCTTTTTCCGAATCTTAGGGTCGGTGATGGTGGAAGGGGGTTCGAGGTCGGCGGAGGTGATGATCGAGGGGGCAGTCTTGGGGGCGTCGAGCTCGGTGCCATCGGGCATGCCGCCCGAGACCCGGAAGAGTTCGAGCAGATCGTAGAACTGGCCGTGGATGTCGCCACAGACGGTGACGGGGGTTGAGACGGGCTGGATGTTGGATTCTGGACGGCGTCAATAGACCAAGGCAGACGATACTGGGAGAACGGGGCACGTACCCTCCATCATGTACTCCTTGACCATCTCACACAGCTGTTTCATGTGCGGTTCGGACAGGTACTTGCAGTCCTTGGCTGCCTCCAGCCATTCCTCGGGGCCAGCATTACGTTTCAGCTTGGCGGGACCCGGCGACGGGACCTTGCTGTCAACCATGATGACGATGGTGATTGAGAGAAGTGAAGAACAAGGGAATTCGTCGTTCCCCGCAAGGAAGGCACCGCAGGTGATGACTAATCGCGACATTGTGTTCAGAACTAGATCATCTATTTCTCTATCTCTCTCGCTACTCCCTACTCTACTCTACTCTACCGGCTCTACTCCCGGTCGCGAAAAAACCACAGCTTCCGTGCATCCTCCGTCGACATCTTCGCCTTCTTTGAATCCACAAAATGCTGGAACAGCTTCTCGTGCTTGATCTGCGCCTTGTGGAAGTCCACGTGGGGGTGGCACCCACCCGCCGTCATTCGACTGCAGCATCTGGTGCGTGTACTCGCGTAGCTTGAGCCAGTCCTGGTATTCGCGCAGCTGGACCTCGTGCCCGGCAATCTCCTCGTCTGTAAACCGGTACGGACACTGACCGGGAAGACCCAGCCGGTTCCACTGTTGTTGAATACGGATGAGGCTGTCGCGCAGCGGTACGATACCATCACGGTAGGTGTATGGGCAACCAACAAAGAGCTGTCGGATGGAGACGTCCGTCTCGGTCAGAGTGAGGTACGACTCCAGATGGCTTTTCACTAGCGCCGCCTCGTAGCATTTGGTGTGCATGGCTTGCTCCTGCCGCTGCGCCTGCTCCTGGTCGTGCGGTTTGGCCTCACGGTCGTACTTTGGCCGCAGCTCGGGGTTGGCCATCCCTGTTTGGTATCCTTCGGGTGGGTTGAGGACGAGTGGCCACCGCACCTGCGTGAACCGCGGCATGATCCTGGTGAACTGCCAGTCAATCACCCCCTCGATCACTGTCGGATCTTCTTTGGACACGAAGATGTTGCCCGGATGGAAGTCAGGATGACACAATACACCCTGCGAGTGGCGCTGCAGCATGTGAGACTCGGCCAGAATGGGCATCACCTCCATCGCTCGCTCCAGCATATGGAGATGCTCCTCGGGCCCGCCGTAATGCGGCCCGCGACCTGCATACGAAGTCTTGTAGTTGCGGACCTGCAAGATGCCCTGCTGCGCCAGTGATCGTCCTAAATCGGGCAAGGTCCTCCCTGGATGCTAACGGTCAGATATCCAGAGTGTTTCGGAATGGAGGAGAGGCTGACAAGGACCCGAGTGCTGCGAGTACTCTTCCGGATCCGCGGCAAACCCCCCGGCCAGGAGCCATGATATAGTGGGCCGAGGCAGTAGTCATCGTCAACTGCGATGGTCCGATTGGGATCTTCCTTGAGCGATGGCGGCAGTGCGTGGCGCAGGAACAATGCACCATAACCCGGGAACTGGATAGTGGCCAGGCTACTTTCCAGCTGGGCAAAACCTCGAATCAACTGCATCCGGTCAGACTCGGACACCGTATCCCAGACGTGGGTGAGTTGCTGCCCGGGACTCTTTTCCAACACAATGTACTCCGAGCACACGGGATTCGATTGATCTGCACTCCATGCCAATACTGTGGAGACGGGAGTGCGCGAGCGAGCTTTCACTAACACGACTATCAATGGATGTTTTGGGATGCGGAATCCCGGCCATACCGAACTGTAGAACCGCGACCTCGGACGCGGTGCCATATTCGCGTGGCACGATGTTTCCACAGGGGATCTTTGCAATGACTTCACCTCCGTTCTCTGCGGTCATCATCAATGCCTTGTTGTATCCGCCTTCTCTCTTGTCGATCTTGATGATAGGCGACTGCACGGTGGGTAGCGCCGCCACCATCTGACAGAGGGCATCGATATCGAAGGTTGAGTAGCGCTTGGCCTGTTCGTAGTCCTCATTTACCAGGAATCGGCCGTAATTATACCGAAACAGCTCCTGCGGCGGGACATCTTTGCCTTTGGAAACCGTTGAGATGATCATAGCTCGAGTCTCAGATAATTAGGGTTCCTCACCGTGCGCTTGAATGGTCAATCCGCGTCGAGCAGGAGCTCGTGTACATTTCTGCGCGGAGGCCCAGCATTGCCTGCGCAGCGGAAGCATTGTGTTTCCAGTCTTGTCAACGTTCCCACTAATGGAAGGCGCCTCGAAGACAGGGGGATGGGAATGGTGAGACGTCACTCTGATGCCAGGATGGCGCCTGGACAACAATAAAAACCATAAAACATATCAATCATTTCGCTATGGAACCGATTTATCTACAAGTATATATAGCCCAATGCAAGCGAACTAGCCATCAATCTTGCCCAGGAACTCCGTCACCACGTCCGCAAAGGCCTCGGGCTGTTCGACCATGGGGAGATGGCCAGCCTGGTCGATGATCTTGAGCTCGGCGCCGCCACGCAGGTCAGCAGCCATCTTCTGCATGGTCTGTGGGAGAACTCCATCGTTGGCGCCCGCGACAAACAGACCGGGAACGGTGGCAGAAGCCATGCGCTCGCGGATATCATAGGCGCACAGCGCTTGCACGCTGTGGGCGAAGCCCTTGAGGCTGTTGGTGCGCACGGCTTCCTTGACCGGGGCGAGCACCTCCGGTTGGGTCTTGTATGACTCCGGGACGAACCAGCGCCGCGTCGTCACCTCGGCCAGATTCTCACCCACAATGGGCTCCTTCGTGGCAGGGTCCGTGGCGCCCTCCTGCTCACACATCGCAACCCGGTCTCCCCAGGCCTTGCGGTTGGACTCCGGGGCGGACGAGTTGGTGTCGCAGGCAATGAATGCCGCAACGCGGGACGGGTAGAGGAGAGAGGTGTTGAGCACAGTAACACCGCCCAAGCTGACCCCGATCAGGCGCGCAGCCTTGGGCGGTACCCGCAGGGCATCTAGCAGTGTAGCTAAGTCGGAGGCTAGCAAGTCGATGTTGACCGGCTGCTCGCCACTCGGTGAGCGGCGGCCTCGTGTTAGATAGCGCAAGACTCGGTAACGCTGGTTCTGCTTTCGGGCGAAGAAGGCATCCACAAAGCGGTCCCAGATGTTCCAGTTGACCAGGATGGAGTTGCTGAGCACCACCACGGGGGCATTGGGATCGGTGGCGCCCTCCAACCGGTAGGGGAGCTCGACACCATCAGCTGTAGTGACGAACGACTCCAGTGCGGGCCGCGAAGGTGAGGGAATGGTGTGGGTTTTTCCGTCGTTGGAAGCCCAGGGCCCGACAACATCCGGCTTGGTCAACGAGCACAGCTCGCGGGGAGCTGGGCCAAAAGTGTAGTACCACTGATACACGCGGCGCTTCTTGGATGTCACGACGTCGCCCATGAGACGCTGACTCCACGGAGTGTTCATGGCCGCCTGGTGCGCCGGGCCACCCAGGCCGTTGACGGGCGCATACTCGTGCAGGGCGAGCGACTCGCGTGGGGCGCCCGAGTCAATGGCGGCGGTCACGAAGCGACGACTGCGTCGCCATCCGGGGACTTTGGAGAGCATCTCGTAGTGTTCCTCACGGTACCAGCGCTCCAGCTCGGCCTGGTTCGCTGGGTCAGGGTGCGCGGTAATGGTGACGGCCACCAGCACGCTGCCGTGGGTCTCGGCATCGACATCGGCCTGGAACTCGAGCGGGCGGAAGTCCGGGTGGCGACGCTCATCGGCGAGGTCGTACAGCTTGCGCCCGACGTCGATCTGCGCCATGGTCTTCTTCTCGCGCTCGGTCTTGATCACATCGGTGCGCAGCGACAGGTAGGTCTCGCGGGTCAACTCGTCCATGTCGGTGATGTCGTACAGCGCCACGTACTCGGGCTGGAGGCCGTCCGTCGCGCGGAAGCGGAAACCATTAGTGATGAAGGGGAGACGCAGACGCAGCGGACCATGCTCGTTGTTGTACCAGTCGTGGAATTGGGTGTCTGGCAGCGACGCCTGGGGCTGCATCGTCACCCAGAGGAGGCCGGATGAGGGCATTTTGAAACCGCGTGTCTATGTTATGAAGTAGATGGGCTAGAAAGGATAACTGGATAGTGAAAGAAGAAGAAATATCATAATCATAAAAGAAGGTGAGGTCCAGTCAAGTATAGCCAGCCCACCGTCGAGCGGAAAATCGCCGGGGGAAGGCATCGGCTACCAACTGCCGATGACGACGGATGTTCGGTACAGCGGATGGACACATCCCGAGCTGAAGAATGTATATACCGCAAACAATAATATTTGATGGGGGAAGGGGTTTTTATCATCATTATTTCTTAATCTATCAGGGATTCCCTGTCAATCTAGTCGTACCAGATCGCGTTCATGCCAAAGCCCTGCTCCGGAATGTCTACACGCGCCACCCGGGCCAACTTCTCATCGCGCCATCGATACATCTCCACGAAGCCGAGCTGGTCATCACACAGCGCCAGCCACTCGTCGCTAAAGTCGCAGGGGCTGACGGCGTTAGAGTGTCCACCACTGGTCGAGGTCGGGTTGATGAACAACTGCTTTTCGATCTCGCCGCTGGGACCTAGCTTGAACGCGGTGATGTAGCCCGTCACGTCGAAGTGGTTCGACCGGGTGGTGGCGAACAGATACTCCCCGCTGTGCGTGGTGAAGGTTACGTCGCCGCGGTACTTGTTGCGCGGGGGGAGGCCTGGACGATTATCAGCAAAGACAAGAGGAGATAGCAGTGTGGGACGCACCGGAGGGCAGGAGTGGGTAGGTGATGTGCGTAAACACCGGCTTGTGGGTGCGCTCGTCGATCACGTAGACGGCCAGACGGTTGCCCGCCTCCATCAGCGCATACAGGTATTTGCCGCTGGGGTGCATCTCGACCCAGCGCGGATGGTCGCCGGGCGAGGGCGCCTCGAGGCAGTCGACAAGTTCCAGCTGGCCGGTCTGGGCATCCTTTTTGTGCGTCCAGATCTTGTTGGCCTGCAGGTCCGCCGAATACAGATAGGTCTCGGTCGGGTCGAACACCATGCCGTGGATGCCGGTGTTGGGCTCGTACTCGTAGTTTTGAACGTTGGTGTCCAGCGCGCCGTCCGGCTTCACCGAGAAGACATTGCCGTACCCGGCATACTTGTAGAAGGGGTTGCCATACACGTTATACGGCGGCTTGTGACCGGCCAGCACGAAGATGGCACGCGTGTTGGTCTCACTGCTGGCAGCCTGAGCTGTAGATACGACCAATACGTCAGCGAGCGAACATGAGAGGGGATCTGGGGTAACATACGGTGACCGGCGACCGGATGCGACACTTGATGCGCGATCTCGGTCGGGCTGTGGACGGCAAAGCTGTTCCACTTCTTCATGGCGGCACCATAGATGGCCTTCTTATCGTGTGAGAAGGTCATCCACGAGATGGGCTCGGCCTCGGGAATGTCGGTCTTCTTGACCAGGTCGAGGGTGAGGGCCTGATCATCGAACTGCACGGTGTAGATGCGCCCGGGAGCGGTCCAGGTGCCGACCATCAAATGGTGTTTCATGTTTGCGACGGGCGAGTTGGAGAAGCCACGGGAATAAGCACGATGACGAGAGCAGATAAGCAAAGGCCGTAAAGCCGCGGGGAGCATGTCGAGAAGAACATGTTGGAACTGCTGGAGAGCAAAGAGTGTGGGGCAAACCCGTACGGACCTCATGTACCGGCAGCTCGGGGCGGCAGACCCGGAGAAGCGAAGAGCCGGAGAGGATTCCGAGTTACTCTAAACCCTAACCACGTGATCCATAGAGGCTACGGAATGATCAAGGAGAGAGACAATCAGGTCATATTCTTGGGAAAGTCGGGAGTGCATTACAGGCACTGCGAGTAGTAGGCATTCTGCTCCTGGCAGGTATACGGGCTGACACACGTCGTCGCTCCAGTCCAGCCAATGCCACCGCACTGACCCCAGTGAGCGGCCCCGGTGCTGCTAGAACCAGTGGTAGTAGTGGTGGTAGACTTGGTGGTAGTGGTGGTAGACTTGGTAGTAGTAGTAGTAGACTTGGTGGTAGTGGGCTTGGCAGTGGTCGTCGTACTGGTGCTGGTGGTCGTCGTTGTCGAGCTGCCCGGGAAGTAAGCCGAAAGGATATTCCGATAGTACGTATAGGCAGTCCCAGAAGGCGGCTCCATCGAAAAGATATAGTTCGCCCACCAGGGACCTGCAGACCACCAGGATGCTCCCAGCCAGACATTGCTGTTCTCCTGCATGTAGTCCAGCATCCCGGTCACGGCGCTCTGACAGACCGAGTTAGCACCACCGGCGAATTCGCCCAAAAACCCGAGTTTCCCATTCTGTTGCAGCCATTGTGTGGCACCCTCCATGCGATTCTGGCCGATGGTAGTGTTGACACAAACGTCAGACGTGCCCGACCCGTCCGAATCGAGATACTGGTGCATTTCGTAGACGATCTTGTTCTGGGGGTCAGTCAGGCTGACCAGGTTGGTATTGACTGACGTCCATGTCCAAGCACCGCTCCAGGAGTTGCCCTCTACAAAGATATATTGCGAGGTGGCACCGGCGGCGCGGATAGCGTTTATGGCGGCCTGGTTGAGGTTAAGGACCAGCGTCTGGTCCTCCGTGTTGAACTCATTGTCTGCAGTGGTCAGTCTTAATCGTCCAAGGAGAAAGAAGAAGGCATACTGGTGTCGAAGATGGCCTTGTCATTTGACGCAAATTGCGTCGCCACCGTGGTCCAAAACGCCGCAAAGTCGCTTGTGGAAGTGATGATGTTGCCGTAGCTGATACCTCGGTGAGTAGAGCTTCCAATATTCCCCTCCGCCGGGAGGGGGGGGGGGGCGGTGTTGCATTAACTCACTATCGCCCGTAGTTGTGAGGATCAACGATGGCGTACGCGCCGGTGGATGTGATAAAATTCACCGTCTGGGGTTGATCAGCACAGCTTGCATTCAAGGTGGGAACTAACGTACGCTGACCAGGCCGGCCAGATAGGTCTGGTTCGGACTTCCTGTCATCTCGTTGGGTACCAATCGCTCCATCAAGAACGGGACGCGAAAGATGTTCATGCCGGCATTACGCAGGGTCTGGATAGCTCCAGTATCCGGCCAAATATAGTCCGTTCCCAGCGCCCCGGGGATATTCCCGCTGCCAAACTCCCCCCCAGACTCACTGGAGCCAAACCCTGGATAGACTAGTTAACTCCATTACAGCTATGATGCTTGTGCACGTACAAACAAACGATGAGGACCTTTTGGAGTGACTCTGGGGCGCTGCGAGCGCCAGACTGGCAGCACTGGCCACGAGTAGCGGAGTATATCTCATTGTAATGAAGATGAAGATGAGTATCCGAAAGCTTGAGAGAGTTGATATGCAGGAAAAGGTAACATTTCTGCAACTTATACACCTCCTCTGAGGGCTTGAGGTCGAGTTTTCGGAGCTGTTCGCTGTGTCCCTTTTCTCCGCGGCACCGCAACCGCTCCAAATCCTCACATTGAAGCACGTGTGCCTACTTTCGGATGCAGGATTTGGTTATACCAGCAGGTGTTTCGGACCGTCTGCCGATTGACTGTTGAGTCGTCAGAAACGGTCCTTGGGGAAATGAACCTCTCTGATGCAAGGATAGAATGTGCCACAGAAATTGACATAAACTATGTTGGGCACGGAATTTAGAGTCCGGTGGAAGTGAAACATCGAGATGAGCGAGGAAGCGCAGGAGGCGTTGCCAGCACATGCATAGGGAAGACCGATACAGAAAACCACTGACATGGAGGATATTCCGGACCAAAAGGGGAAGAGCAGCACTGACTACGATGCCATCATTATGCTTTTTCCAAGTGACCAGGGTATATCCCAGTCTGCAGCGACATTTACCAGGGTCCCATGTCCGTTCATCCCGCGACTGCCGGTTCCCACGCGAGACCCGGGGCAAGAACAGGAATGATCACCATCTTTGTGCAACTAAAACGCTTAGCAAACAGGGTTTGTATAGGTTCGTCGGAAGACCCGCAGGGGTAAAGAGCTCGGCCGTCCAAAGCATCCGCAACGGCCTTGACATTGGAATTATTCTCCATTTCATGCACTCCAGGTTTGGCACGAAAATACTATATGTGCCGTTCTGCAACCCCGCAAAGGCAATTTCCACCCAATAAGCCTGAAACTATATTTTATGCCGAGGCGTGGCGCTGGTAACGTTCGCAAACCGGACGCAATGGAATCTCCGTGCAGTAGTCGGGGAAACCTCCGCATGGCGCTGACATGCATAGTGGGGGATGAACAAAGTATTGCAGGGTCGCGCCACAGGAGTCGGGGAGTTACATGGCGGGGCTTAGCGCTGACAGGCACCTGGAACCTGCAGAAACGAATCGGGTGAGCATAGACAGCATCGTACAGCACTGGCTATCGACGATCCATGATAATCGGATCTACAGCATGTTGAATTAGCCCTAAGAATGTCGGAAAATAGATCCGGATGAAGAATTCTCAGAAACTGCTTCGATTTCAAAAACTAATCAACTAACGAGCGACTCGATACATCCATTCGTCTCATCTGCCAACACCTCCCCGCTGCTCCAACCATTGGCCTCTTCTAAACTACCCCGTCTACAGACACTGCGAGTAGTACGCATTCTGCGCCTGGCAAGTGTAGGGGCTGACGCAAGTGGTTGCGCCAGTCCAGCCGATGCCACCGCACTGGCCCCAGTGAGCGGCCCCGGTGCTGCTAGAACCAGTGGTAGTAGTAGTGGTAGTAGACTTGGTGGTCGTGGTGGACTTGGTGGTCGTGGTAGACTTCGTGGTCGTGGTAGACTTCGTGGTCGTGGTGGACTTGGTCGTGGTGGTCGAACTGGAGCTGGAGCCAGAGTTGAAGGTGGAGCCAATCGGGCCCACCTTGATGTTCGAGTAGATCACATAGGCGCTGCCGCTATCGCTCTCGAGCGTGGCAGGGTCGCCCGAAGAGATATCACAGGTACCGCGAGCAGCACCGGGCGTAGTCGAAGTATCATTAGTCGGATAAGTGCTGTCAAGCCAGAGCATGTCGGCATAGTAATCATCCCAGAGACTCATGACCAAGACCATGCCGTCCGCCAAACCAGCGCCCATGCCTGCGAGTCCTCCATGCTGACTGAACGAGTCCTCGCCGCCAAAGGCGGCCTTCTGGGCCGAGCAGAACTCGGTAGTGATGGAATTGCCGCTCACACCGCTGACAGTGGATTCCGACTGGGGAATAACTTTGCCATTCTGGACATAAAATCGCTTGATCTCGGACAGAGTACCAGAGGATGTTCCGTCATCGGTAATGAACTGAGTCACCACAGTGAAGACGGAATTAGTATCGACAATCTCGCCCGGGCCGTAGAAGGAGTGGTTGCCCATGCGGTACGGGTTGAAGTCACACCCATCAGGATCGCAAGTGCCACCATAGCGGGAGGTGCTATATGTACCACCGCAGGCGTTGGCGTCGCACTTGACCTGGCTCGGGGTATCGCAGGGGTGGGGAGTGACGGCATTCGAGATCGAGTTGGCCTCCCAAATGTCCATTTCGGCACAGCAGGAGCCGTACTCGCCCAGGCCCGTGTTGGCGTTATTGCTCGACGGAGTCCAACCCGCCGAGTTCGCCTGACCGTCGATGAACTTGAGGTCGCGCGGGCACTGCGAGTCGCAGTATCCGGTGCCGTATTTGGCGCCCGCCTTGTTGGTGGGGAATCGCGACATACCACCGTCGGTATCCATGTCCACAAAGTAGAGGGCACCATTCAGGCCGCAAGGCAGTTGGGAGACGTCAACGTCAAAAGTGAACTCCTGGTTTAGCAGCTGGAAGGTCTGGTAGGTGGTGGCATCCTCCATCAGGTACAGACGAGAGCCGACATTCTTGTTCGCTGACTGCGTGACAAAGTCCAGACGCAGGGAGTTGCCGCTGGTGGTGACGCCATAGGTGCCAGAGTAGTCGGCACCGTCCAGCGCGCAGTTAGCGGCACAGGTCACATCATCCGGGCAGAGCGTGGCATCCCACGTATTACCCGTGTAGCAATTGGTGCTGCCACTGACCGAGTGGACCCAGCGCCAGTTGGCATCGATCACCACGGAGCCGGTCTGAGAGGTGCAGCTGCCTCCGCTGGTGCACTTCGACCAGGTCAGGGACGGGTGAGTCTCAGCAGTCAAGGTGCCCGCCTGCTGGGCCTTGACGGTGGCCCACAAGGCGGAGAAAAAAAGAGCATTCTTGTAAATGCGGTATGAGATTGCGGCGGCCATGGCGGCGAGATTGCTGCTGCGAGAGCCAACGAGAGTCAAAGGGGATTGCTGAATTGATGAGCGACAGGATTCAATGGCCGTCCGGGAGGCTTTTTATATTGTTTCGACGCGACGAAGATATCCAAGTCCCGCTCGGCGGCTCCACGGACCGCATGGCCGTGTTGCAAAGATCATAGCAACTTCCCCATGGAGAAGAGCATGCAGAGTCCTCCGGGGACACGGAGCAGAGCCCTCGAGTGTCCGCGACAAGATCCGTGTTGTTCTGCAGCCAGGACCCCTGCTTGATGATGCCTTGGCATGCCGGTAATTTGGGCCTCCCCGCACCGCCAGCCCCAAGAGGGGGCGGCTAGATGACCCGCGTCAACCTGAGACCGCCATGGGGTAAATCATGAGGCCATTATAGCCGAATTGGACGAGCCGATGAAGTCCGTGGCGAACTGGTCCGGGGGCGAAAGCCTCAGCCAGGGCCAGGGGAGGTGACGGGTAGTGAGTGGATGTATATGGTGGGTTGAAGAAACTCAATGAAGCGGATCGATGGTTATTGGCTGACTCACCCCAGGACCAGAGAAAAGTGGGCTGGTCTTTCTTCATTTCCTTCTTCGTCACACACACCTCGAACGTCGTCAACCCATAATCCCCCCCTAACTGGCCATTCAACATGCCTCCCAGTTTCGTTCTCACCATCTCCAGCCCCGATCGCCCCGGCATCGTGCACGCGGTCACCGCGTTCCTGGTCCAGCACAACCTCAACATCGTTGACTCATCGCAATTCGGCGACCCCAGCTCCCAGCGCTTTTTTATGCGCGTGCACGTTGTGCCAGCGTCCGAGGATGCCACGGTCGAGGTCGACCAGCTGCGCTCGGCCTTTGAGGCCACGGCGCAGTCGTTTTCCATGGACTTTGACATCCACTCGGCATCCAAGAAGCCCCGCGTGCTGATCATGGTCTCCAAGATTGGCCACTGTCTCAACGATCTCCTCTTCCGTCAGTCCACCGGCCAGCTAAACATTGAGGTGCCGCTGATTGTGTCGAACCACCCCGACTTTGCTACGCTTGCTGCCACCTACAACATTCCCTTCCAACACCTTCCCGTCACTGCCGACACCAAGCCGCAGCAGGAAGCTCAAATTCTGGAATTGGTCAAACAGTACAACGTGGATCTGATCGTGCTGGCGCGCTACATGCAGGTGCTGTCGCCGACTTTGTGCCAGGCCATGTCCGGCCGCATCATCAATATCCACCACAGCTTCCTGCCCTCTTTCAAGGGCGCCAAGCCCTACCATCAGGCCTACGACCGCGGTGTCAAGATCATCGGTGCCACCGCCCATTTCGTGACCAGCGACCTGGATGAAGGCCCCATTATCGAGCAGAATGTTGTGCGGGTCAATCACGCCATGAGTCCCAAGGAGCTGACGCACGCCGGAAGCAACGTCGAGAGCAACGTGTTGGCCTCCGCGGTCAAGTACGTGACGGAGCACCGGGTGCTGCTCAACGGACACAAGACTGTTGTCTTCAACTAGTCTGGACACGAGTCTCGGATCTACATTGGTATATATTTCAGCGACACCATTTCCGGATACCTCTCTACGGTTGATCTTTAAAAAGGATCGGTGGGGAAATTGGGAAGACAAAAAATAAAATAGATTTTGGGTTGGCGCGCTTGTTTTATACATTCAGTCTTGACCAGGACGATAGCGAGAAGACGAGTCTATGATATAGATCCAATGATACTACGAAAGACTTTGCCCCCCCGTTGTACTAGTTCTAGTTTCTTCTGTCGAAAAGACCTGTAACGATCCATCCTCGAGGCTCTGCTTCTCCCGATCGGAATGGTGGAGCCGCCGGTCCCGTCATTCTTCCACCTCGTCACACTCCGACAAAATGAAGACCCTTGCGCCTCCACCGACTCTCACGCACCTCTTTACCTTGCGATGTGCGGTTGATCCGCCTATGGAGATTGGGCATGGCCCCTTTGGCCGACGACGCTGCGTCCCGATCATGTCGGGCTCGGTGCGCGGCAAGTACTTGAACGGCGAGGTCGTGCCGGGAGGGGCGGATTTCATGTCAGAGACCCAAGAGATGCCCTAAAGCTCTTTTCTGATGTTCCACAGGATCGTGGAGGAGGACCAGACGACGCATGTCAACACCAACTATGTCATCAAGAGCGATGACGGCGCGTTCCTCTACATCCGGTAGGAGCCCACGAACGGGCGAAGTGTGAGGGGCGGGCTAACTTCATCTCCACAGCACCGAAGGCACTCGTGCCGGACCGGCCGAGGTGCTGCGCGCACTGATGGAGGGCGGGCCCGTGGATCCCAGCCAGTACTGGTTCCATTTGCACGTCAAGATCGAGACGGGCCACGAGAAATACCGCTGGATGAACGACCGAGTGATTGTCGGCCGGGCCACTAGGGCCCAGGGTGAGGTTGCTTACGACGCATACTTTCTGGAAAACAATCCTTGAGCCATGAAATCGTCGACATCCCACATTATAGGATCTATACATAGTAGTGCGCTAGATAGTTATACAAAGAAACAGAAAGACGCCACGACCGCCTCATTGCGCATGAACCCGCTGGAGTAGCACCTCGGCCAGATTGACACGCTGACCCTGGCTCACCTCTTGCTGAGCCAACACCTGGTCGGCTACATCGTTGGCCCACACGTATTCCGAGTGGAAATTGCGCAGATCGAACAAGCGCTGTCGGAGCCACGTCCGTTGGTCCGCATCGTCGGTTTCAATGACGGCCATCAGCAACGGCCAATGCAGTCGACGCAACAGTTTCGGGTCCGATGCGTATTGCTTACGGGCAATGTCCACGATGCCAGCCGTGGCCTGCCGGTGAATGGATGCGGGCCCACTCTCCACGCACAGGAGCCGGTGGTGGAGGAGGATCTGGGCGTAGAAAGTGCAAACGGCCATGTAAATAGTGTTGAGTGTGCGTCGGGCGGAGACGGCCCCGGCAAATTTGGCCGTGATGAAGAGATCGGAGTATTTCTGGGCGGTGTTAGCCAGGCTGCGGCTGCCTTGTTTTGGTCCGACAGACTTACCTCCCGCGAGGCGACGATCTCCCGGAAGATGGAGTCGGCGGTATCCGCGCTGTCAGAACCAGCATCCACGAGCGCCCGCCACGTCTGATAGCGCAGACAGAAGCCGACGTGCAACAGCTCGAGCGCCCGATAATTCTCGATGTCATCCAACACCTCTTGGTCGGGATACCGTTCGCCCCAGAAGCATCGTCCCCAGAGACGAGCACACCGGTGGAGACGATCCGGACTCAAAGCTGGATTCCCCGATCGCATCACGTAGTCGTACAAGG